TATGCAATACCATCTATGGTGATCTAGAGCATGGTTATGGCAGCCGTGCAGCCGAGCGAACGCGCTCTCGAGCTGTGAATCACGCGGCGCGCGCGCGTTGCTTCCCGACGACGCGACGATAACCGCGTGAGATGAGATGAACCGGTTCGGCCGTGGATCGTCAACATTCGTCGCATAGTCCTCGTAGCTCACGCACGACGCCGCGAATTGCCGTCGGCGATGCCCACTTGACGCAGCAGTAATCTGCTCTACATTCTTTTAGGCAGAATTTGTTACCATTTCTCGCGATTCCTTAACGTCAGTCAGAAATGACCACAGGCGACGTTTCACAACGTTAGCGTTTTACAACGTTTGATAACAAAACGTTGGTTTACGTTGGGAATTACGTATTGAAGTCGCTCAAAAAGTGTGGTGCAGAGTATAACGTCAGGCGAACGTTAAATATCTTAACGTCGGGTAATAGGACTTAAACTGTTTCGAATTTGACGTTGGGAAAATGATAAAAAAAGCACGTCGTAATTTTAACGTTAAGACAACGTCCAAAAAACGTTAGTAATTATAAGTTACATTTTATAACTTTCTTGGACCGCTTACAACGTTGTGATTAGTAAAAAAGTAGTCCTTAGTCGGGAAGTTAACCGAAAAATGCTGCTTGGGTCCTCTCCTTCTCCTAGCCTTCGCTTGTATTCCGTTTCTTCTAACATCTCCCTAAAGTATTTATCCCACTCCTCTAATGTTATCTCCTTATTAATTTCTACCCTTCTTCTCCTTTTCTTGTTTATTACTTCCCATACCTGCTTCTCTGTTCTCGCCTCTCTTGCCTTTTTCAGCAGATTTCTCTTTTTTCTTCTTTTTTCCTCACACTTTTCTTTATACTCTTTTCTTTTCTTATAATCTTTTTTGTGTTTTTTTCCTCTTTTCCAGTCTCTTAATAATTTTTCTATCTCCTCCCTCTTCTTTTTACAGTCCCCATCCCACCATACTCCCTTTTTTTCTGCCTCTCTTTTTACTCTTCTCACCCTTACTTTCATCTTAATTCTTTTTGTCAACTTTTCAACCTCTTTATCTATTGCCCCCCTACCTATTTCTACCTCCTCCGTCCTTCTTTAAAACTCTTCTCTTGCCTCTTCCGACCAATCCGTCTTTTCCACCCACCTCTCTTCCTCCGCTATTGTCCCTCTCCTCTCACCACCACCCCCTTTGTTCAACCGAACTGCTACTGATTGATGATCCGAATCTACCTCACACCCCACCTCTAATCTTGTCACTATTTCCCAAGCTTTTCTATCTTCTATTGCGTAATTGATCACTGTTTCCCCCCTTCCTCCCTTAAAAGTCGCCTCCCCCTCCTCACCTCCCTCCTTTGCTCCGTTCATAATTTCCCACCCTTCCTCTTCCACCCATTTAATCAGCCCTTTCTCCTACCTATTTATCATTTTATCTTTCGATTTTCTTTCAGCTCCATCTGCTCCATCCTCCAGCGCTCCTTTCTCCCCTGTTTTCGCATTGAAATCGCCCCCACTATCCATCTCTCCTCTCTTCCTTCCTCCTCTTTTACCGATTTTATCTTACCCATCATCTTGTCCAAGTTGCGCTTACGTAAATTGTTGCCAATCTCCATTTCTCCTTCTTCCATCTTACTTTTCTAATCATTAAACCCTCCTCCTCCACCCATTCTTCTTCCTTTTCTAACCCTTTTCTGACTTCCATCATTATTCCACATATTGCTTTTCCTTTTCTTCCAACTCTTTCTTTCTTTGCACCCTGTATACTCCAGAACTTCTTTGGCACCCTATTCTTCATCTTCTCTCATTCCTCCCGTTCCAACCACGTCTCCATTAACCCCGACATTCCACTCTTTTATCCTTTTCCAAAACTCTTCCTGTTTTTCCTTCACTCCCGCTACATTCCAAAAGTTTATCTTTAGGCTTCCTTCCTGTTCCTTCCTTTTTTCCTCCTTCTTTAATTCTTTTTTTCCCCCTTCTCTTTTTCTCCCCTCTTTTTTCTCTTTTTCACTCCTTTTTACTTTCCCCACTTTACTCTCTCTGACTCCTTTTCCCCCTCCCTTCAGCCTCACCACACTTCCTTTTTTCCTACTTTCCCTCTCCTCCCTCTTCTCTCCGCCCTACCCTCCCATCGTTTTTCCTCCCTTCTCACTATCCTCCCTTTTCATTTTTCCGTCTCCCTCTTTTCTACTCTTTTCCTCTTCCTCTGTTCCTTTTTCTCTCCCCTCCTTTTTTTTTCGCTATGCAATTTTGTGTGCGATGACCTTAATAAAGGCCATCGCACACAAATATGCATAGGCTGCATAAGCATAGCATAAGACCGCTGGACCAATGAGCATCTTATGTAAATCAATATGGCGACTTTATGCTGGATGCTCATTGGTTTAGCGGTCTTATGCTACGCTTATGCTAAACCATGCATTTTGTATGTGATGACCTTAAATGGGTGAATGTAGAAGCGCATCCGCTCATTAAGCCACTAAATAGCAATTAAACATAATTGGCTCACATGATACTCTATTGTTTAAAAAAAAAATCATCCCGATATCTCAAAATTTGCGAGTTACAAACAACTAAAAAGAATTGGATATTTTTTAATACAAATACGTATGATAAAATAATTGCAAGTAATTGAAATAATTAAAAATTAAAAAAGAGAAAATTAAACTTACGCGTGGAAATAATTGCGAAATAAACACGTCAGGTCATCGGCAGTTTGCGTAGATATGTAATAAAAGTTGAAGCCATGTCCAATTGTGTATAACGCTAAAAGCATTAAAAAGAGAAAAAAAGACTTTTAATCGAATTGTAGATATCCCTCGCCTAAATCATACATGCATACATACATATATAACACACACACACATATGTGTGTGTGCGTGTGTGTGTGCACGTGCGTGTGTGTGTGTGTGCGTGTGCATGTGAATGTGTGTGTGCGCGTATTCCTTTTTATATAAAAAACAGCAGTGTAGAATAAAAAACATTAATTTGATGCAAATACAAACTCAGTAATACCCTTTCGAAGAGACCACTTCGGACATAATAATCTGCCAATGAATTCCATAAAGGTTCCAACTGATTTGTATAACGTCTTAAGCCGCCTGTAATAATAGCATCTACATTCAAAGACTATATCTTGGAAGGATTTTTGGATATTAAATCGCATAATTCATTCCATAATTGATGATTAGATTTCCCATGCTTCGATACAAAATCGTCCTGGTTGACAATCTGTGCAAGTTTTACAGCAACTTCAACGAGTCTTTCAATCGATATCAAATATTCTATATATTTTTCCGTATCTTCCGGTGCTAACTACATGTATGAAACAAAAGAATATGCATAAGGCTTTTCAGAAACTTATTTTATGATCAAATATTATAATACTGGATTAAACTATATTATTTGCATACATATTTATCCTATAACTGTCAAAATGCATCACGTGACACTAATTGTAAGATTATCTTTATTTTCTTATTGTCAATACCTCATGACATACTGAAGGCCTCATCTTTTTTTAGAGAAAGCAGTTTTTGTTTAAAATAATTTAACAATATTATATAAACTCAGACAACACACATGTTTAAAAGCGTGACCTAAGACGTCTAAAAGACATCTTTTAGACATCTTTTAAACATCTTACAAAAAGATAGCTAAAAGATGTCTGAAAGCTATCTAAAAAAACGTCTTATTTTAAAAATTATGTTTTCTGGAAAATAGATATGATCTTTAGTTTACTATTTTTAAAAATATCATAAAATATATTTGTCGTAATATATTTTTTTTATTTAATTTTAAAGAAATTTTTTTATAATTTATTTATCACTTATAAAAAAATTGCTTTACCTATGTCTTCTATTTTTTCAATAAAACAATAAAAGTTTATCTTTATTTTTTTTTTATTCAAAAATTGAAAGATAACCTAAAATTATTTTATATGTTGGTGAAAAATAGACAATCCCGATATGCCACGTAACTGTTAAAATTACTTAAGCTATTTTACTAATGCAAATATTAAAATATAAAATATAAGACGTATTATGAGATACCGAGATAATTCATGAAATATTTGGATTTGACTTTTTCGTGCGTACATTTATCTTTTATTCCTGCAACAATTCCTCATTTTGCGGGAAGAAAGCTGGGCATCAGTCCTACAGTAGATCCATGCATACTTCGTAGTTGATAATCAATTTCCAATTTTACTTCCTACAATATAAATCACACGATAATTATACAATTAAATTTAATTTTATTTTACGACTCCTTTCTGCACGATATCAGTTTCATACATATTTTTATAGAGATATTTTAGAGAATCGGGTTAGAGAGCATTGACATACAATTATACCCTTAGATGTGCCAAATGATATTCCCACAGAACTTTGGCATTAGCGATGCTTTCGACAGTGCCAACGAAGACGAAGGGCACCTGACCCTCTTTTGGAATCATTCATGGGATCATTAAAGATTTTCAGACAATTACTACATGTAGAGGATCTGTCATCAACTTTTCACGCTTGTTGAATATTTGCACATGAGCACCAATATAGCTAATCCCATCAGATCTTCTCGAACATTAAATTCATCGGTATATCTAAAATAAGGCAAATTTTACATAATCTGCTTATATATACAATATATAATTACAAAGATAAATATATAATTTACTATCTGTATCAAAAATTTATAGTTCACATTTTTTTCCATATTATAGAATAAAACAATTTACAATTTAAGCTGATCAATCGATACTAACCCCATAAGATGCAATCCGTCATCCTGTCATCATTCGTCATCAGCATCGCGAAACTCGCCTCTCAAACTCGACTCGTGTCTCAATTACTTTTTTAATTAGGGATTTTTTATGGCTGCCAATGAAATTGCACCCTCGTCATCAGAACCATCATCGTGATAAGCATCACCACTGTACGCTCCTGCAGCACGATTAGTATTCCTAATACCACTGGTACTTTTCTTGGTTTTGTTTTGAACTCGCATAGCCATACGTAGTTTTTCTTCTTCTTTCTACAAAAGAAAAAGTAATTAGAAACATTGGAGTAATAATCAGTTTCAACATGATATGCATGTACAGAAATGATAATGTATACACACCTTTATCATCTCGTATCTGTTCTGGTCTGGGTTCATTCCTACTTGAGAAAGAACTTTAATGTCAGAGATCTTTTGCGACCTATCGGCCAGAGACATAGTCATCTTCCTGTGCGTGAACGATTCAGTGGAATGCGGCCGGAATGTTAGTTTCGTTCTAAATACTGCTTGACCCTGCAGACCGGTACCTTGGCGAATATAGAGGTGATTGTGACCGCCCTGTAACGGCTGTTTGTACACGTCAAAGATTTTCGAGCCCAAATGCAAGGACATGCTTCCGTCCGACCACTTTACGAATCTCGCGTTACTTTGCTTCACCATTTTGCCCTCGTCGTTAAACGATTCCTTCCACCTCAATATATTTTCAACCTTGAGTTTCAATCGAGCGCGACCTTCCTCTACTCTCCTCTTCCTCCTTTTTTTACTTCATTCACAAGGTTAAGTTGTACCTGTAATCGTAACCTGTACAAGTAATCGTAATACAAAAATAAAAATAGGGTGGAGTTCCGAAAACGGCCCTCCCTCCGATTTCGATGAAACTTTGTGAAAAGCTTCGTCTTGGGTTAAAATGAAAGCCCTTAAGGGCCAGTTCCACAAGTGTTGGTTAACTTTTAATCTTAGATTAACTCACTCTTCATCTTTTTCTAAGGGGGACGTTAGAAGGAGACGAAGAGTGAGTTAATCTAAGATTAAAAGTTAACCGACACTTGTGAAACTGGGCCTAAAAGGAATTTTGGCGACTCCTATGATAAAGCCATTTTTTAAGTTAAAATGATAAAAAATATAGGGCTGTTCTTTCGAAAATGTCCGCGCTCCGATTTAGGTGAAACTTTGTGAATAGGTTCCCTTTAGATAAAAAATACATGGTAAATGTCTAGATTAAGGGCGACCTCACCGATATCAATGACCTACATAGGTTAGTTGACGCGCTTTACGCTCTTGATACTGTTCAACGCGAGCCACTGATCCACGCGGGTTAGTTTTACACACTCGATACTGTTCAAGGCGAACCACTGACCCACATGGGTTAGCTTTACGCACTCGATACTGTTCAACGCGAACCACTGACCCACGTGGGTAAGATGCTGCGCTTTACACACTCGGTACTGATCAACGCGAGCCACTGATCCACGCGGGTTAGCTTTACGCACTCTATACTGTTCAAGGCGAACCACTAACCCACGTAGGTTAGTTGACGCGCTTTACCTACTTTTTTACTGTCTACAGCGCCCCAATGACCCACATGGGTTAGTTGACGCGCTTTACCTACTTTTTTACTGTCTAAAGCACCCCACTGATCCACGTGGGTTAGCTCATAGAATTATGAAAGTCTTCTTATATTTTTTATCATTTTATCCTCAAAAAGGGATTTATCACAGGAGTCGCCAAAATTCCTTTTAAGGGCTTTCATTTTAACCCAAGACGAAGCTTTTCACAAAGTTTCATCGAAATCGGAGAGGGACCGTTTTCGGAACTTTATCCTAAAAATAAAAACACATACCTGCAGATTAGTCGCGCCGCCTTGCTGTATCACGGACCACGGACCACGGAGCTTTCCGTTACAAATCACTCGCGCTAACCACGCGTCATGCGTCATTCCTCACGATACACATTTTTTTTTTATTAGATCCCACATTGACACGTGACGTGAGGTTAAAACGATATAGACGACATTCGATACGAAGTAATAACACGCACACAACGCATCGAGATAACCAATCGGCATCGCGGAAAAGAGGCAACAATAATTTCGATACAAACGCAATTCACTCAGTTAACACCTTTTTTAAAAGTGGATTAAACAAACCTTATAATTTCATACCAAAACAATTACGACTATAATGTTCGACACTGAATCATTTTTCACTCCAGTTTTTAAAACACGGTTTTTTTAAAACAATATTTTTTTCTTGTAAAATTGTAATTACTTTTGTTTCATCAAAATAACCATTCACTTTTAACGTTTAATTCCAATATTGATTATCTAAAATAAAACTAATAAGTTGTTTAAACTAATTAATAAACTAATATTTTTATTTAATTTCTAAATTTCATTTATTTTAATAAGAAATTCTTCAAATATCTATTAATATTCATCTTTATTTAAATTAGTTTTAATTGCTTCGTAATGTTTATAATATATATTGCAACCCAATTTCCCTCGGTCTCGCTGGCCGAGAGGGCGCGGCTACAAATTAACCCGCTGATCGCCGGACGATAGCTCCAAGAGGAAAACGAGGTCACGTCTCTTACCGGAATTCCCGTGTCTGAGGTCTTGGGCGATATCTTTCGATTGGGCGCCAGGTGCGATTATAGACGCGCACCACGTCTCGATAGCGTTCGCATCCTTAGTCTCGCCACGAGCTCAGCGCGTAGCTCCGCGTGAAAGGGATGAAGGTGGAGAAGAAGCGTGACGCAAGCAACACACAAAATAAAGCCCGACGATAAACAATATTAATTAGATATATTTCATTCAATAGACCAACAAATCGTATCAGGGAAGCCAAGGCCGGATCTCGCTCGAATGACCGGTACCAACGCGGTACTTGGATCGGCCGTTACAGCACGCGCGAAGTGCGTGATGTTCACGCCCGCGAGACTCCCTTCGCGAGCAAAGCTCTCAAGCGAGCCCCGCAATCTCGATTTGTATAAGCGCGATCCCGCGATAACGCCGATCCGCCCACGCTTTAATCCCCAGATCCCGAACGCACGGCGATTCTTACACGCACGACGCAAACAATTCTCATACACCCGACATACACGATTCGCACACGCACGACACAATATACGCAACGCCAGATAATGGCGCGCTCGCAAGATTCCCTTTCGAGCAGACGCGACGATATTTGCCCGCGCACGCGACGCAAGATATCCGCGAGGCTCGCGATGCACCCCAATGCACCCCAAGGTGCCCGGCGCGGTCCCTCCCGACACGCACACGGGACTTCCGTACACGACACGCAATAATATACCCAAATACACAACGCTAAACAGGTGTCCGGCGCGGCCCCTCCCGACACGCACGCGGGACTTCCGTACCCGACACGCAACAATATACCCGAATACGCAACATTAAACACAATATGCACCGGAGCGTGCCGCCCGCGGCACGCCTCCGTCCACGATTTACAAGACACGCACAACGATAACCGCGAATTGACTGCCGATCATCCGCAAGCTTTCGAGTAGGGCCCTTCGAAATGTTTCTGGCTACAATCTCGGCCGGCTACGCGCCCGCGATCCCGACAAACAGCCGCGATAATCTTCCCGGCATCCACAACGGCGGGAGCCGGTATCTAAGTACGACACGTAATCAGGCCGATTCACACGGTAATCTATTCGATATGCGCATTTACTGGCGCCGGGTTGCGACCGAGATCGAGCCCTCAATTAGTAGGCAGCACCGGAGTGGAGATCTTACAATTAGGCTGCTCGCTGCTGCTCGGCGGCGTCGGGGCGCTCCTCCAGGGGTGGCTTCTCGTCCGCGGCTAGATCGACAGTGAGGAGCGGTCGGCTCGGCGGGACCACAGTTGCAGACGATTTCCGCCATTTTCCCGCGGCCCGTTTGACTTGGCTGCTGGTTGTGCGCGGGCCCCTCGCGGTTTCTCGCTCAGCTGGCCAGGCCGTGGCGGCGCCGCTCGGCCCTCGAGGCGCAGTCGGGTGAAGTGTGCGGGTCGTCCACTGTCACGTCTGACGGTATAATCACCGCTATATTCCAGCCGCATAAATTTTTCGATTTCCATCTCTATTGCACAGCACCTGAAAACAATATAAGAATAAAGAATCACACCTTAACTTAACTGTCACAACAATCACTCAGCTGATGCAAGCACGCGTTCTTAAAGTAGTAGACACAAGCCTAGAAAACATGGCTGCCTTAAGGTACCCTTTCAAGCTTAAGCCCCATTTTCATGAATCACACTATAAACTTTTGGACAATTGCTTGTTAAAACTCCCCAGAATCACTAAAATTGATCATAAATGAATATTACAAGCTTTATGAAATCCTTTATGCAATATAAATTCAATTCAACACACGAATAAATGCATGTTCCATAAGAATAAACTCAGAAAATTAAAATAAAGTATAAATAAATTAATTAAAAGTAGATTATTCATAAGAACATAACCTTTTATGCTTAAGGAACATTATCACGCTAAAATAATAATTATCTCATTAGCATTTTTTCAAACATGATTGTTATAAACAATTAAATTATATTATTAACAGACCTAGTTAGTGTGACTACTGGAACTATCACAAAAAGTCAAACAACTTTTGATTATAAACCATTGTTGGATCTCTCAAAATAAACTAATTAACAATAAATTTATCATAAAATTATTATTAAAGATGATGAATAAAATCACTGCAGACACTCAGCAGAGCATGTCAAGTAACCTCACAAAAACCCCATCATATCTCTTCTTAATTCCGAGATATAATTAAAAATTACAGAAATCCATAAAACACAGAAATTTTAAACAACCTAAAATAATGTCCTTAATTGCCTGAACACAACAAAAGAAACCCCATTTCTTTATCTCTTACCGTTCTCGAGTTATAAATTATTAAAATTTCACGTCCGCCATTTTGAATTTCCTACCCTTTAGACTTACAAAGACCAAATCACTTTTACATTAATATTTTAGTCTTTTATACATTTTAAGACCGAAAAATTTCATTTCTGAACAAAAATTTTAACACTTAATTATTATGATAAAAATAGAATCTCTCATACTCCTAAACACCAGTAACGTTAACGCCGATTTTTTATTTAAATTAATTAAACTA